CGACATGGTTCACTGTTCTATTTCTAGTCCTCTAAAGTTTGAGGTTGCTGTGAGCTAGGATGACGCCACGGCACTCTAGCCCGGGCAACACAGTGAGACTCCGTCTCAAAAAAAAAAAAAAAAAATGTTCGGGATGTCTAATTTGAAAACTTGACAGTAACAAATGAAGATTTTAGCCTACTGATGAAATTCAGAGAGGAGCAGTCAAAAGGGTGTATTTGTCTGCCTGAAAATCCTGGTACCCAACAATGGCTGGGTACTTGCTCAGAGCACAAGTGAACATCGAAGGGGCAACTTTCGGGTTTGGTGAAAATGAGCAAGAAGACAAAGAACGAAACACTCCACATGCGCTTCTATGTACATTAGCCACCTGCCTCTCTCTGAGTATTTTGGGGAAACTCACACAGAAATTCTTAATCCGTTTTTGTCATATCATTGCATCAGTTATCTCCTATGTGCTCAAACTTTAAATCGTAACGAGGCGAGATGTGAAATTCAAGTCCTGTTGGCAAGCTAGCTTGGTTTCTTTGAAAAGTCCCAGTGTAGAACAGAAGACAAGGGGTCAAAATCTGTGCACTGTGCTGATAATATCAGCAAGAAAGGAAAGAACACAGGCCTTTTGTTTTCCCTAAGGTAAAATAAAACATTTCCGGCAAGTTTCAATGATAACAAGCTGCATGAAACTTACCTAGATATTACAATAATGGGAAAACACTGAGCACATAGCTTAACTTCTCGTAAAAAATTGAGATGAAAAATAATAAACTTTTCAAAGGTAATTTAGGTAATGCTAAGGAAAAATAGAGATTTTTTTTTCCCATCTCAGCATTATACACTCAGCACTTCACAAACGCCTTTACATAAAACAACGTCATCCTGTGTTTTTTTCTATCTACCTAAATTGCTTGGACCGTGTCTTCTCGCCCCGTTGATGAGACCACCCTACTCGGAGAGCAGAAATCCTGCTGGTCAGTGTTTTATGAAAAGAACTTGCTTGGGCACAACCAGCTCCTCCGAAGCTTTGTCAACTGCAGCTCAGCAGCCAGTGCTTCTAAGATGATTGCAAATTGACTGACAGTTTGCTCCCGTGGCTCCCTGGGGACTCAAATTCAGGTGGCTTGTATGATCAATACTTAGCAGGATAAATCTTTTTCAAGAGTGAGCATATCTCTTCTTCAGACCTCAAGGAGTTTTTCCATGGGATAAACTTTCAGAAATAATAGGCAGTAATGCCAGATAACACCCACCAATGCCTGAAGTACCAACGGTCAGAGAAAGAGGACAACGAAGATTCCTTGTGGTATGTGTTTGGGGATCAAGGAATGAGCAAGAAGACAAAGAATGAAACCATTCGACAGGCATTTCCATGTCCATTAGCCACCTGCCTCTCTCTATATATTTTGGGGGAACCTCATAAAAATATTTAGAAATTCTTAACATGTTTTTGTTATATCATTGTGTCAGTTATCCGCCATTAAAGGCTGGCTCTATTAGAACATTATAATAGCGTTTGGCCAGGAGATCCAGAATTTACAAATCCTACGTTGGTCTAGGAGAATCAAATGCCCAAAAGCAGAAAAGTAATGTGCTATGGTGGGGTGGCCCTAAGCTCACTGTAGAGCTCTAATAAACTGCAGTGAACCACGTAGGGGTAGAGCCTCTTTCCCACACAGGCTGGGCAAGGAGTCTGCAGACTGAAGAGACTGCATTTCCCCGTCCCAAATCCAACACCCTCATGAAATGAAGGGCCAGTGCGCTCCACAATGCCAGAGGAAAGGAGCCAGAGAACACTTCCTCCACTGTAGGGTTTTCTAGACCCCTAGGGACAAATCCTCACAAGCAGGAACCTAATCAGCGCGCCGGAATCTGACAATCAACTCCGCACACCTGTTGAGCTGAGTCAGCAGTAAGGACAGGCGTTGAGAAGACCTCCTCCTCATGGAGGCCAAAAATATAAATATAGGAAACTATCACATCTACTTGATACCGTGTTTAGATTAATTCTGGGGTCAAACAATAGGCTCCATCCGCTGCGCCTATCTTGAAAGACTCTGAACTATTACCATAGTCTCGTCATGGTCATACCCAGCCGAGTGTCAGTTACACTTAATATTGTGTTGATATTTCAGGGTTCCTTATGCTGTGCTCTGGTAGAAACATCTGAGAATTAAAGTATTGTTCCCTATATTTTCTGCTGTTTTTCTTATTAGAAAAATACTGATGCTTCCCTTGTGTCTTTTTCCATATCATATACTTTCCATTAAAATAAATACACGTGGAGCACCTATTATGTGCTAGGTGCTGGAGATCTATAGAGGCAGAGAAATGGTCTCTGCCCTTAAGTAGCTTATAAACGGACATTAAAGTAACAGCAATTTCCATAATTTCTTACATCCGGCTACTTTTGCTCAATAATACTTTTTTTTTTTTTTTTTGAGACAGAGTCTCACTCTGTTGCCTGGGCTAGAGTGCCATGGCGTCAGCCTAGCTCACAGCAACCTCAAACTCCTGGGCTCAAGCAATCCTTCTGCCTCAGCCTCCCGAGTAGCTGAGACTACAGGCATGTGCCACCATGCCCGGCTAATTTTTTCTATATATTTTTAGTTGTCCGATTAATTCCTTTCTATTTTTTTTTAGTAGAGACGGGGTCTCGCTCTTACTCAGGCTGGTTTCAAACTCCTGAGCTCAAACAATCCGCCCGCCTCGGCCTCCCAGAGTGCTAGGATTACAGGTGTGAGCCACCGCGCCAGGCCAATAATACGCTTTTTGAGATTTAGCCACATTGCTCCATGAGTCAGTAGTTCTTCTTAGTTGCTGTGTCATATTCTACTATGTGAATATACTATAATTTATCAGTCTACTGCTGATTGACCTTGGGGTTTTCTTCACTTCCTTCCTTCCAATAGGCTTGGTCATTGAGAAAGTGCTGCTGTGGATAAAATGCCTTCTGGTGGACAGAAGCTCTCATCTGAATACTGGGAGTATGTCCGGGAGTGGAGGTGCTGGACCGCAGAGCTGGCACGCTCAGAAGAATACAGTTACATGCAGAAGCATGTGTGTGCAAGTACACATGTCCTGGTGTGGCAGAGCTGCAAGCTGGCAGACAGAAGACCGCAGTTCTAGTTTTAGCACAGCCATTAATACCTTTGTGACCTTGAGAAGCCACTTTATCGCTATTGCTCGCAGCTTCCTCATCTATACAATAGGTAGCTTGGAGCCCGTGATTTTTATGGTTTTTTAGCTTTCCACATGTTTAATGCATTATCTCACTTTAAACCGACATGGTTCACTGTTCTATTTCTAGTCCTCTAAATAGCCTAGTACATTTTTTCTGCATTTCATTTTTACGCATGGACAATATTTGTAAAGATGTTATCATATTTTTAAATGACTTTAGATTTCTCCTGAAGCAGCATAGGTTAGTATTAAAAACTATTGCTCCTTGCTCCCTTTATAAGTTCCAGAGAAAATCATAAAGTTAAGACTATTTGGTACAGGCAGTAAGTAAATCTGGAAGAAACTTAAAGAGGCTTTAAGTGTAACTTAACCTTTGGTTACAATAGAAAAGCAAAGATCTGACAGCTTTTAATGGAATTTTGATAAAATTCAATTATGAATGTTTGTTTGGGCTCAGTAGTGTGGGCCTTCTGTGACATTTATCTAACCATGACCTTTAATGTTAGCACTGCACTCATCAACTGCAAAATAAATTTGTATCCTAAAATACCTTCTTCCAAGCATTTGGTAAGGAACTTTGACAAGACTTCGGTTGGATACAGGGTAAAATTCAGTATTCCAGAGCTAAAAGCAGGGACTAAAGGAATTTATTCTTAAAATTCTTATGTGCCTTTTTGAGGAAAAGCCTAAAATTTAGAAAGAATTTGTTTTTGAGAGTTATCAAAAGTATAAAAAAACATGAGAGGAAATACTGACAAAATAATAATTAACAAGGCAGCTTAAGAAATATTAAAATAAACATTTTGTGTGTGGTTGCCCTCTTTGCTGAAGAGAACATGGCCTTTTTAAAAGACAGAGCTTACACTTTTTTAAAGAGAAAAAAATTTCTTAATGAGAACTAAGTTGAACATGAAGCCTTACAGATGAATCAGTCTCTAGCTTTCGAGCACTAAAGGAAACAAATCACAGGTCTGAGAGAAAACTATTTTGATTCACAACCCTCGAGAGTATCTCTGAACCAATCTTTTTT